TCCGGCCCTTCCAGTAATCCGGCGTTTTTAAACGAGTCGCTGCACGCGGGTTGCTCGGCTTTATCAAACAAAAGACATTATTTAACTTATTAGTCATTTTTCAGCGTCTAGTAAACACGAAGTTTTTAGTCTTCTTTAGTTTGTTAGATACGATCGACGCATTTTTACTCACGTGATTAATTTAGTGTCGTGTAATTTTAAAATGTCTGATTCTAAACGAAAGCACAAAACATTAACTTTACTTCAGAAGGCTGAAATTATAAAAAACTTGAAAAAGGCGAGAAGATAACTGAACTTACCAGTATTCCTGCAAATTCGCTAATCAGGCACTAGCTGTGCCTGATATGTGTCGGATTATCGAGAGATTAGCACAGGCCAGAGTGTGATGAATTCGTATAGTTAGTGTTTTATTACAATTGTTAAATGTAATCCAGTGTTGTACATAAATAGATCTAAAATATTAAATGGTGTTAAACGTTGTCGGCATTTTATTTCCCATCAGCAGAAGGTAACTCAGCTTTTACAGTCCTTTGTAGTCGGAGGATGATCTAGAAAATGTGAGGCAGAAGCACTTGCCCAGTACAATTGTCGAGGGATAAATACAGTGGGTCATCTTGTGCACGCCTCTTAAGTATTCTCTGGGTATTCTGAGGTATTATCAAGAATTGCCTGGGTAATATCAAGTATTTTTTGGGTATTTTGGGGTAAGATTTGGAAATGTGCATTTTTTGCACACTATTGATATTTCAAAATTATCTACCTCTAAAAATTTATCTCAAAGTAACCCTCATTGAGGAAAAAGAAAATGTGCAAAATGTAGTGATTAAAAAAAATTAAAATTAATTCCTAGCAACATTTTATCAAAATACAGTTTATAGAAAAATAATTAAATATTATTTTGACCTTAATTCAAAAAAAAAGAAATGTGTGCCCTACCCCATCCAGGTAACCTCACAATTTAATAATAAATTTTTTTTTAAAAAAGGTACCAAAAACTCTTCTAGATAATTAAATATTATTTACAATGTCTAATAAAATGCAACTTTTACATGAACATGCTTTCCAATTGGCAGACATAAAAATACTTTTAAACAACACCACGTGATAAAAGAAGAAGACAATATTTGGGACTTAGACCCAAGAATAGAAATATTGATAGCACCTATATATTATTATAATTACCATCTTTGGAGTTAAATTCCAAAGATGACTTGTATTATAATTCATGTTCCATATATTTATTTATTTTTATTTATATTCATTAATTTTAATAATTTTCAATGATTCGTATTTTGTTTTATTTTTTAGATTTTACGATTCGTATTTTATTTTTACGTGTTGGAAATACGTCCAACATATGTCAATTGGTACATCAGGTGATCCCAGCTCTGAGTATTAAACCAATGCGCTACTTCAGTGATGATGTAATAATGGTTCCACTGACAATTAAAGTGACAGTAGATTTTTTGAGTGCGTTTTGTTCGTTTTGTTTACCTAAATTATATCGTTTTTTTTTTTTTTCACTTTTATAAATATAATCGTTTAGTTACCAATTACATACCTTTAAACTATTTTTTATGACCTGTAAACAATATTTTGAAATAAAATAAAAACAGTAAAAACGTATATGTCAAATTTATTGATGTTTTTGTTAAAAGTTTGGTTAGAATTAAATGTCAGTGGAACCAAAATGACATCACACTGAACTAGCGCATTAATAATTCAACTCGGCATTCAACCCGCCTGTCACTTTTTATCTCAGAGGTTTTGAGAAACCCTTATTGACAACTACCATCGACAATGACTATTACAGTAAACGCCAAATCTAAAGAACCAAGGACGCACATGTATAATGCTACGAACACGCCTACCGATGAATAGAATTGGTAGCTTACCTAGAAAGTTGTAAACCAAGGGCGCGTATATTTTAAGACACAAAATAAATGGAAAATAGTGAATGATACTTGTTCATACATATTGCTTAGTGTTATTATTAAAAATCATTATTTTTAAGTAAGCCGACTTTAGGTTAAGGCTGTTCTACCGCTTTCCGTTCGGTATTTATATAAAATTATGTTACGGTCAGGAAATTATCCTTATTCAAATAAATTAAATTGTGGTAAAATTGTATATTGGTCAAACGGGCCGTACTTTAAAAAAAAAGTTATTTAAAACATTACAATAGTTATACTAAAAACAAAAATAATTCTACAAAACATATTTTTATCTGAAAATCAATCGTTTATGCAAAAATTGTTTCACATTTTGAGAACAAAGACATTAAATTAAACCATTTAGAAATAAATAGATTTAAAAATTCAAATATCCTCTTAAGTGATCAATTAGATATTAATAACTGAGCTTAATTAAATCTCTTTACCTGTTCTTAGTTTTCTGTGAGAATATCCCGGTAATGATATCTAATTGGAATTTTATTAATATATTTCTCTTAAGTGCCTACTTTAACTAATTAGTTTATTTTGTATATATATTAGAAATGTAAATGAGTCACATTTGAAGAAGTTGTACTTAGAAACAATTGTGCAATTTTTAAATTTTATTTCTTTAAATAAAAGTGTGAAAATCTACCATGTCCGGTTTTTCTCATTTTAATATGGATTTTCATCAAGTAAAGGCCGAAACTATCAAGAAATTAAAATGAAATGGTATTAAATACTTACCACTCCTGATAAAGCATTGTAGTTAACTTTATATGAGCGTTTCGACCTTCCTTCAAAATTCTTTTAACGGTATTATAAGAAACACCTGTAAAAACGTAATATTATATTAATGTTAAATTTATTACTTTTTTTACATTTATTAGGAAACAAAAAATTTTAGAAACAGAAGATAAATTTTAAAAATTTAAATATAAAATATTAATCAAAAATAAAATGCATAGTTACGTGTGTACAATACAAAAAAATATCGAAAACTACGCAAGTTTAATTGCAAATAAACTACAGAGTATGTTTACCTGTTGCTTGTACAGTTTGAAATTTGATATCATCTAAAGTAACTCCTTCCTTTTTTGTTGCATCAAAATATTTAAAAACATTGTATATTACTTCACGACTTTGTCCGTTAATAACAGATCTGCGCTTTTTTTCACCCACAATAGAAGACATCAAAAATAAAACCAGTCACTTTAACCAAAACACAGAAACAAACAATGATCTAGTCGTTACGCTACTGACCGTAAGCAAGGACAAGGTTCAAATTGTGAATGGGCGTGGCGATTTTTAAGTAAACGAACTTGAGCATTTGCGCTGGTTCTTCAGATTTAGCGTTTACAATAACAAGGTCAACACTCCAAACACATGTTCTCACAGCACTCGACAAATACAAAAATTAGGTTCCGTGAGGACCGCAACACAAAATACACCTAACTGTATACCGTGTTGTCTAACGGCGATATGAAACGTTAAATTCGGATATTCCCGGTATTCTTGTGTACACAATTTTTAGAAAAAATGATATTTTGAATACACCTACCAAGCTGTACAACAAAAATATGGTTTTGACTGTTTTTAAAAAATGTTTAAATTGTTTCAAAAGGAAAAACTTGTATTTCGTGCAAAACTTTTTTATTAATCAATGCAAAGCGCTTTCGGCTTATTTGCCATCATCAGTGCTCATCTACAAAAATTGTGGATGTAAACTTACATTTTAAAAAGATTTTAAAAAAATATATTATAAAATCTGAATTAGACTTTTAAGTCAAAAGTTAAAATAGTATATATACAATTGTTTGAACAAATTAAAAATTACAAGAAACAAACAAAGTGACAAAAAACTGGTATTGAGAATAGTGAGTGTGGGATAAGCCCTTACAAATCAAATCTGATTTCCAGAAGCAAGTTAACTTGTGTGGAATTAAGGAATCATGCCACCTTCACTATTCACAAAATTGAAAAAAGGTTAACAAATTAGTTAAAATTTAAAGAAATTTACAATTAGAGGGTGACTGTGGAAGATATATTGAAATTTGAATCTAGAATACAATATTTGATATGAAGAAAGTAAAACGCAGAAGGCCAAAGTAAAAAAACTGAAGGTTTTTTTTATATGTTTTATATACATTATAATTATGAAAAAGTCTACCTACTGTCCACAACGTATCCAACAAGTTCCAGGTCATCCTCACTCCCAAAATTATATATTTCGGGATATTTACAACTTGCTAAATCATAATTTTATTAATATTAATATTTTCAAATTTAAATTTCTCTCTTCATTTTGGTTCAAGTTGTTTAACCGTTTCCACATGACAGTGGTGACAAGCGACACTTGAAGACTTTGACTTGTCAAATGTCAACAGAAGGAGGTGCGTTCACCTCAGTGTGGAACATGTTTCTCCGAGTGTGATTCGAGTGATTGGAGGTTAACGGAGATCAAAATTTGTTATTGAATTTAAAGATTTAATTTATTGTTAGTTAAATTTAAATACATGTTTAATATAAATGATATTATTATTTTGATGTCAAGACAAAACAAAAATGTCACTCACTTTAATTTGTTCAAACAATTGTATATATACTATTTTAACTTTTGACTTAAAAGTCTAATTCAGATTTTATAATATATTTTTTTAAAATCTTTTTAGAATGTAAGTTTACATCCACAATTTTTGTAGATGAGCACTGATGATGGCAAATAAGCCGAAAGCGCTTTGCATTGATTAATAAAAAAGTTTTGCACGAAATACAAGTTTTTCCTTTTGAATCTAAACTACGTGCACACAGCTGTCAACCTTTTTTGTTTTTTTTTTTAATTTAAATTGTTTGTTTTTGCTCCCAGATATTTTTTAGTTTTTTTTTTTAATTGTATAGACAGCACTAGAAGATGGAAAATATTGTTTTCCGAAATATATGTTGTACATTGTAAAATTCGAGGTAAAATTAAAATAAAAACTTATGAAAGATTCAACAAAGGAACTTTTTATTTATATAAAATTCTACTGTGGTCAGGAAATTATCATTGTTCAAAAAAATGTTACCTCGTTGATTGTGGAATTTCAATATTATTTAATTTAGGCAAGTTTTAATTTGCAAATTCTGATGAGCTTTTCTTTTTTAACACCTGGTATAATTAAAATTGAGACAGTTGTAAGAAAAAGTGTATTTTGAAAAAGTACAATAGTCATAACAAAAAATAGTTTGTGATATTAGTATAAATTTTATTTTTTTAGGTTTTCTAATTTTCTTATGAGAACATGACTCGCCTGGGAGGCACTAAACATTCTAAAATAAATACAAATCATAAAAAACAATTTAATAACAAGAATTTCTCCAAAAAAGTATGTCAACATTAACTATCTAACTTTTCGAATTGATTGTTGGTGATGAAACTAAACCTAGTTCCCCAGATTCCAATTGCTTAAGCAGCCTGAATAAAGCAGCAGCTTCCCTAATTCTACTAAATTCAATACAGAAAGCCTGTACTTCAATAAATAACTCCTGCACATTAATAATCTTATTTCTTATCAAAGATTGTAAAAATACACAGACCAATCTCACCAGTCTATTTTGCATATACCTATCTTTGATTGTTTCACAAGTTGATATGCAGTTAGAAATATATAAGTGCACAAATTCTGTAGGCAAGTCAACAGTCGTAGTTAGTCTATTTACTACCTCCATGGAATGCAAAGACATCTCCATATTTACCAGGACACTAAAGTATTCTGTAATTTGCTTGGATTGCATCAATTTCAACAAAACTTCAATTGCTATTAAAGGATTATTTTCTACAAGATCGGGCAACTTTAGGGGTGTCAATCCAATATGGTACACAAGTTTTGGGTCATCTTCTAGCTCCCCTAAAATATAAATTGTATTAAACATTATTCTAATTTTTATTAATGTATTATTTGTTACTAAGAGTGAGTTTCGAAATATAGTCGTGTTCAAAATTTATGAAATAATTATCTTTATCGGCCTTAGTCGGTGAACGGCCAATGAGCGGTTAAGAAACGAATAAATGACATAGGGAGCGTTCAAGTATTACGTAACGCAATTTTTGGAGATTTTTAACCCCCCCTCCCCCCATGTAACGCGCCGTAACGTTTTTGTGAAGGTAAAAAAAGGTCAAAAGGTGACTTGAAATTTTGAGAAAAAGAAACGTTTTAAAAAATGCGTGAGAGAAACTCTCTACGCGACTTTTCTGAAGGGTTAAAAAATATTAATGTTGCGTAACGCGTAGTTCAAACGCTCCTGTAACGCATCGTAACGTTTTACAAAAATCCCCCTCCCCCCCAAATTCGTTACGTAATACTTGAACGCTCCCATAGAAGTAATTTTTTAATTGGTCCCAGACAACGGTCGCAAATTTCACATTATTGTGATCTGAAATGTGTGTCTAAAACGAAATGTCACTGTCAAATTAAAGTCGATATGGTTGTTGATTGATGTCAGAAATACTTTTTTCTTGCTTTTGAAATCGACTTTTTGAGAATAACTATGATCTTTTTAAAATGGATAATAAATATTTATGAAAATTGTTAATGGAATATCCAGATGTAGCCAGGTTAGTATGAAATATAAAGATCTGTTTACATTTTTAAGGATATATTTGTTATAGGTATAAAAAGTAAAAGTTAATCAGTGAATGACAAGTGGATCACACAGTAACTGGTATCTCTTCTATGAGTAATGTGGATATTATGGCTTATTTAGTGTTAAACCATGGTTAATGCGCTAGAGGGCAAATAAGGGCATTCAAAAGTTTACAGGCCTATGAGTCAGAATTTGTTTTGAAAACTGGAACCAACATTTTCATAACACTACATGTCAACGTATATTTTTTAAAGTGAACTATTCATACATACCTATGTATTAATTTTAAGTATTTTTAAAATATTTTTTGTGAAAATAATGTTAACTCATGGTGTCAAATTAAGATTACCCCTAAAGTAGTAGATGGTGTTTTAAATGTTATAACAATTTTGTAAATAGTTTTATTCTATTCTAATAAATAAAATTTGCTTGAATATTTAGTTACATTATAATCATTTTGGTTAGAAATTCATCAATTTTTAGTTTTAAAAAATCAGTAATAAAATTATTTTTTTCTAAAATACTTCGGAATTCATCTCTTCATGGTAATGTCCCATCTTTTTACCTTCAAAAACCAATAATGCATTTTCTACAAAACCTTCAGAATAAGCATGTAAAATAATAAGGTGTCTTCCCTTTCTTGTAAGGCTTTTCAGGAATTGCTACCTTTAATAGTACTCAGTGTAGAAGGATCCATAATTGTAGATTTTCAATACAATTGCTTACTGAATAACTATTATTTACGAAATAAAGTAAAAACTAAGTAATGGATGAGATATCAAATTATAAAATATCAGAACTGTCAACAATATCAATTATTAGCTGATGTCACATACTTGGATTACTAGGCGAGTTCGGTCAGTCAGGGGCTGGAGCGGGACAAATTTTAGGGTGCTTTTAAATGACATTTAAGCGTGTTAAACTGTCACTAATCGGACTAAACCGAACGCTAAAAGAGTCGTTTGGAGTTAAAAGTGTTAAAGGAGTTAAAGGAACGTGGCAAACCGAACGCAATGCCTATACGGGGCAAGAGAGAGGTCCGACACGCCCAACATAGGGCGCGGCCATTTTGAACCCTATGACACAGTTTATAGCTAAAGAATCAGATCGCTCACTCTGCGTCGGCACTTTTTATCTCAATGTTCCAGTTTATACTCTGCGCAACTCAGATAATACAATATATGACAACCGCCTACAATAAAACCGCAGTCTTCTGCGTATCCTGAATTTGTGTCCCTGGAGTGGATATTATTTTGGAACTTTCAACTGGTCCGAGTGAGCTAACTGATTCTTTAGCAATAAACTGTGACTCCAGAAATAATATTCACTGACACTGACAGCAGCAAGCAAAATATCAGGTGCGTTTTAATCATCTGCTTCTGCTTCCGGAATTGTCGGTTTAGTCGTTTTAACCTGTCAGATTAAAACAAGAAAACCGACAATTCCGAAGCAGAAGCGGATGATTAAAACGCACCTATTAAAAATATTGCGCCAAGATGTAGGCAACACGTAATAAGGGTTCAAAATGGCGGAGTTTTCTATCTCCTTTTAAAAGGCACTCAGAAAGCTGCGCAGTGCGACCATTCTCCGTATAGTAAAAGAAAATCAAAGTATGTGGCTGATGTTCATGCTAAAAAGTAATGTGTGAAACTGACTGTAATCTGACCAATCAGAAGGCTACAGAATTGCCAACTTAAATTAAAATCGCTCCTCTTAGTTTAAAAACAGAGTATAGCTTAGTTAATTTTTCAAAATATAGAGTAAATAGTTTTAAGTGATTTGGTCGATAAGAACAAAAATGAGATTTTTTTGACTTGGTCACTTTTGGCAGTAAGCCGACGAAATATGAATGAATGAGACGAATAGAATTTTCAGAAAAACCAAAATATTTTAGTTTGAAACAAAGTAGATTGTGATTTATAGTATCAAATGCTTTGGAATAGTCCCAAGCAACAAGTCCTGTAATTTGTCTTCTGTCTATATTTCTTACAATATTATCAGTAACTTGACAATTTCAAGAATTTTGGACATCGCGGTCAGAATACTAATAGGCCTTAAATCAGAAAAATGTTGAGGTTGTGCAACTTTACAAAGTGGTCTAATTGTTGCAATTTTCCAAGATGTTGGAAAGTAGTTTTTTTGAATACAACAGTTTAGAAGGTACGTAACGTAATTATCAATATGCGGACTACATTACTTCAGCATGGAGATTGACACAGCATCAGAACCCATGGCATTAGATTTGATATTATGGAGTAGTTTATTAAATTCTCTGACAGTTATGAAATCAAATGCTAGTTTGTTTCCATGCAAATTAGGTAGTGTTCAATTATTATAACATTCCAATAGGTCATCATCTACTTCATTATCAACAAAACAGAACAAAAGTACTTATTTATTTCTTCGGGTTTCTGCAGCAAAATAGATAGGGTTATTTCTTGCTTTCTGGACTGAAGTTTATTTAGATCCTTCCATAAATCCTTGGATTTATGGGAATTAAACAGGTTGTCAAAATAGGCTCTTTTTTCATGATTTATAGAGGAGAGAGTGAAATTTCTCAATTCCTTATACCTATCCCAATCAGTGTGTAATCTTGTTTGCTTAAAGCAATTTTTTTTTTCCTTAATTGGTAATTTGATTGGATAAGTTAATCAGGGTGCATAAGGTTTAGTAATACCTATAGTTTTTCATGAAATGGAGTATTTATTAAATCATTATAAAAACTGTTATAGTCAACATTTTTAAAATCTCTAAACGTACAGAATGATACATAGTTAACATTACAATTTAATATAAAATTATTAGTTAGGAGTATAATGCAAGGTGAATATTTTGAATATTTTTAGACAAATTTTACTGTTGAGAAATACAAAATTTAAGGTCCATGAAATTAGCACTCGTTTGACCACCCAAGAGAAATCATGCTATTAGAAAAATAAACCAGTCAAAATATAAAGAATTATTGACCTAAGTACTTCTAATTGCAATTTATTTAAATTAACTACTGCAATCGTTTTTTCATACATTATTTTCATTTGCCCAGGCCTTATTTTCATTTGTTCACATAATAGAAATAATTATTAACAAATAAAGAACTCAAAATATAAACAATATTATTAATATAAGTACTTATAATTGCAATTTATTAAAACTAACTACTGCAATCGCTGTTTGCCTACAAATTATTGTTTTGATTTGTACAAGCCTTATTTTCTTTAGAAATTAGTTAGCCTAGTAGAAAATAAGGCCTGGACAAACGAAAATAATGTGCAAATAAATTGCAATAAGAAATAGTTACATTAATAATTGTTTATATTTTGAGTTTATTTGTTAATAACTAACTAAAATAAAGCCTGCACAAACGAAAATAATGTGTGGACAAATGATTCCAGTACTTAGTTTGATGAAGTTGCAATTAAAGTACTTAGGTCAATAATTGTTTATATTTTGTGTACAATTGGGTTCAATTAAATACATGTATCTGCTTACCTAACAACTGTTGTTGCTGCTGAATAGACAGAGCTGATTTATAGGCCTTATTCATAAGCTGCCTTGCTTCATAACCAGCCATATCAGGAACACACATTGTTGTATCATAGGCTACAGTATGTTCCTTAGGTGTAGTAGGATTTAACCAAACAGGCTCGTCTTGACAATTTAGTAAGGGTGGAGCCAACGTGATAAACTCAGGTTTATAAACTTTAGTTAAAGGTGGGTCATCTACTGTCACCAATTTCTTAATAATTGTCTCATCCTTTACTATGTCAGTTGAGTAACTATTTGAAGTCTTTTCTGGTAGTGATAAAATCACAGGAATTGCCATTTTACATGTTTGCGGCAATTCTGATAGCTTCTCTGCCAATGCAAGTTCTATTGTAGAAAAATCTGGAGTTACCTAAATATTAAAATAGTTTATAAATAATCATTTTCATAAAAAAATTAAAGTGATTAGAATAAACTCCTCAAACAGAAATTTTACCAATATAAATTCTTTGGCAATTAGGATATTAAATGTTCAGAGTGCTATTTTTTTCTAAACTTTAAAACCGATTTTTCCACTGTAATATTTGTTTACATTATTACATATATTGAAAACTTAATACATATCAGATGACCTGAGGAGGTGTTTGCTTGCGGTTGCATGTTTCCTCAGATGATGCTGTACAATAGTTTCTTAAAGAATTGAAAATTTTCTAAAACTCAAGGTTGGATTCAAAACCTTATATTCATCTTGGCAATTTGGAAATCTCTGACTGTCAGCGATAGCTTAATTGAAAGAGTGACTGTGCATAGAACAGGAAAAGGTGTGGATATTGGGATGTTCAGTAGATATCCAAAGGATTTGGTATGCTGTCTGGGTTGGGATTTTTTTTGGGATTTTCTGGGAATTTATTCAAATAAAAATTTGTTTTAGACACTAAAATAAGCTATCTCCAGACTTTTTACCATTTGTCCCAAGTAGTTAGTGATTTAAAAAGTCCCAATGAATTCAAATTACTTAGAAGAGTTTGGCAATTCAAGATTTTTACTAACACTAGCCAGGAATTGAGGAATCAGTTATGACAGTAATAGAAGAAACAAAATCTTTATTGGTGGTAATCCCAAATGGCTATCGACTAGGGCCTTTTGGCCCATATCAACAATAATGGTTACATAATTGTTGATGTTTAAATAACATAATACATTGTACTTATGTATCTATAAAAAAATAAGTAAGTCTACCAATGTATATAAAGTATCAGCTATCCACTACGGTTTGCACTTGTGCCATAACGAATTGGAAAACATTCAGTCACCGAAAAATCTTTGAAGTCCATTATCAACAATTTTAGCTAATTAATACATATAACTTTAATTTACCTGTGATGGTACATCAGAATTGACAATTTGAACAGCAGTTTTCTTTAGAAGAGCATCTTTTGGTTTGTCAGATAATAATTGAGTTATAAAATATCTTTCGGGTGTTGTTATCTTAGGCAATTGTCCAGGATATTCCAATTTTGGAGCTCCAACACTACTCTGTTGCTCCGGTGGATTTAAAAGGCCTATAAAAACATTAGCAAATGGAGTATCTGCAATAGGTTCGCCTCTGTATAATTCATATAGTAGTGTTATAGCTGCTAATCGCTGTTCGGGCTCAGGTAATAAATTATTTTGTAATAACATGACAATACAAGAGCCCACTTTGAAAAAGTTAGAAGGCTCGAACTTCTTGTGGACTTCATTGGAAAGTGCTTCAAGTGTAAAATTTCGTACGCTATGAGTTTCCAAAATTCCTAAAAGATTATCACACTGTTCAATAGTTAAGGCCATTTTTTACTATTCTGTAATACATAATATATCATTATATTTTCAAATAATTGGCAATTTGCAATTTCTATTATTATTAGAAAATGACAACATGAAAAATCGCAACACAACACACAAAACCAATGATTTCATACTATTAAACAGGATAGCCTAGTTTCTCAAATCTTTTTGTAGCGTACACTGTTGCCAGATGTTAATTTTGGACGTCAGAGCAGAACCGCACACCGAAGAAAAGTGTTTTTATTAATTTAAATTAAATATAAGGGTTGTAGTAGTTTAAAAATTATCTTTGGAATATTAAACCGCGATATTTAAAATAAAATAATAGGCAGTATCCAGCGGAGTTTTCATTTAATTTTATCATTATATTATAATTAATCAATAGAAAAATTGTTAAAGAAGTTAAACGCCGTACAAAAGTAATATATTTATTAAAGGTTAATCATAGGTTGTAGATGTATGAGCACTGAAGATAAAGAAAAGAAACAAACGAAGGTTTTTCAAGTGTGTAAATTATATTATTATTCGACAAGCGCTTTCGGTTGTTAACACGTCGAGTACGCTGTGGTATTTAACGGATGCCTCACAGCTTGTCTTCTTTGAGACGGCGAGGCATCAATATGATGCCACAGTCACAAAATTAGCAAGGACGGCGTGTGGTTTCGTAGAACGTCTTGATATAATATGCTACAAACATAGGAGCTCCCTCTTAGCCGTCTATAGTAGAAAAGTTTAGCTGGCCTTCAAAATAAGAGACATTTTCTGTGTTATATAAGTTTATTTTATTTTTTTTTTAAATAATATTATTATTAAGCAAAATGTAAAGCCAAACGACTTGTTACAAACTAAACATGCTATGAAAAACTAATCTAAATATAGGCGTTTAACATAATAAATAACCATTATTTATGATATTATAATGTTTCTGTTCGATGTTCTGTAAAAGAAAAACAATGAACGCAGTAACTTTTTTACATGAAATGCAGTGCCATTTTGTTCTGTGCTGCAACTCTCCCATATTGCTATATTGAGCGGCTAAATGCTGACCAGCGTGCACATATTTTTTGTTTTCCGCTAGATGGCGTGTATTTGAGCGCGGTTTTTTAAATTGATAATTTTGACTTACACACCATACAGTGCGTCAAAAATTGTATTTTAAATTATATTTTATTGTTATTAATTCTGGGTTAGACGTGAGTTAATAAATAACCCATTAATTAGGAATTTATTGGTAGGTATAAATAAAATAACCAATATAAAATGTATCAGTAGCTCACTCATTTATTTTAAAAAATAAAATCACTACAAATTTGTTAGTAATTTAAATAATAATATTGGGGTTTGATGGTATATTAAAACACTAAATCATTATAGTCAATTTATTAAAATATAGAAATAATAGTTGTGACAATCATTGTCTCTAAAAAATTGAGTTTCATTCTTTTTTGTATATAGAATTGTCTAATAAATATATATTGAGGGTAGGGTGAGTATATGGTGATTAATAAAATGATTTCTACATGTATGTCTCGAGTCTAGAATAAAAATAAGCCTAATTGCTCCTTTTGTGCAATGAATAATACTCTTGTAGCAGCAGGAGAAGGCATGGCCGATAAAGTACTTTATGAAGTATATACAAAAGTTCTATTTTTCGACTGTTTTCTGTTCGAATAACGACGTTTTTTGACACATTCGAATAAAAAAAAATTAAAAATGTACAAACATATTATAAGACCTAAATAACCTATATAACACAATATTAAAAATGTTACAAATGAGGTAAAAATTAAATACAAATTAAAGTTTCAAATAGTATAGCATACATTAGAATAATAAAGTGGTACCATTACGGATCACCGAGTATCACTTACAAATTCTACATAGTATTAATATGTCTTAGACGAAAGATATGCATAAAGTTTATATTTGAATGTATTAAAGATTTTTTCGTTGCTATCAATATGAATATATATTTATTGAAACATTCAATACCTCTATTGATGTCGGAACATAAAAAATAATAATAATTAGGAAAATAAAAAGTGATAGGTCATAATAATACCAATTCTACCTCTCTTGCCTTAAATAAAATACATTACAGATTAAGTTAAAAAAGTATTTAACTAGGAAAAGGAACATAATATATATCAACTAATATTAAAAAAAAAATCAAAAACCTTAAATTAGAAATTAAAAATAATTATGATCATTGTCACACTACTTTTACTAATAACTAAAGAACTGCTAAGAGTACTTCTAATAATTTCGTTCTCATTTAAATTGGGTTTTTTTTTTTGATAATTATTGCCCTTTTGCTTTTTTTGTTGAGGTGAAGACCAGCTGTTTTTTAATTTTTTTATTTGGTGGCTCATTAATTTCTGCAGAGGTTACACAAGGAATATCGACTCTGCTAATGCTGTTGTCATAGTTTAAGAGCAAATTAGCATTCTTCAAATATTGAGAAACTTGCCTGAGAACATTTTCATCAGAGGAATTTTCTAATTTGCCCTGCATATCATTGATTTAATTTTTAATTTTATTTTTTAATGTGCCTAAACTTGTTGCCTCTGCTGAAATATTTTGTCCCAAATACTCTAAATGTGTATTTACTTCAGCCTTGTCTTCATCACATTTATTTTGTTTATATTTACCATCAGCTTCTTCAGAATTGTTATCTGGCATATGTAGCAAAAGGAATATGTTTGTGTATTGTATTTCATCTTAAATAATCTAAACAGGTGCAGGTAATAACTGATAATGCAGATAAGAAATGGAACTTCAACATTAACAACACAATTCAAATTCAAACTTATTTGTTCACCAAATGACAATATGATCAGCAGTAGCTGCGCCCTCTGACGAAAAGTAAAATAAATAATCTGTGCACGCCGGTCAGCATTTAGCCGCTCCTCTATATTGTATGTTATGCTAAAAATAAAGAGCTCTTTATTTTTAGCATAACATACAACACCGATTTTTAGCATGTTCCTGATGTTTTTGTAGCAATTATCCCACAGTTCAAGTAATTTCTTTTTTCTTTCTCAAAATCACCCATTATGTTTACGTTAGCTCAAACACACAGCAACTGCCGCTCCAGCACAAATGCATTGTCTTGCATGCATGTAAATCCACAGGTCTAAACGCGCAAATATGTGGCATCACATCAATGTCATCAATGCTTCACCATCCATCCTTCTGAATTTAGCCATATAGATGGAGAGGCATCAACGTTTAGCCACGAACAAAAAATTAAATAATTGACAAAATATTTAAAAAAAATTTGTGGAAACATATGAAATGTATAAATTAGACTTTATCAGAGTAAGATAAGTGCCAAAAAATGTCCCGTCCTTCTACATCAATTTTTTTTCTTCACGCCCGTACTCAACGTGTTAAGCTATCATTGGGACTATAAATATAAAGTTGCAACTTGCTCGTCAAAATATAGATAATACTTATTAGAATAAAATATTTTAATCGTTCTTACACAGGGTGTCCCAATGAAGTTCTGGCTTATTTCTAAAAATTAATTTCTCACCAACAGTTTCAATTACTATATTAAAACATATTATACTGGTTTGAAGCAATTTAGGTAGTCATAAATAATAAACCATATAGAAATTAGAATATGTGCAAAACATAAAACACCTCTTCCAATTCATTGTACACTTTTATTAATAAATAATAAGTAAAAAGCAATACAAAAATATATTAATTTATTTGCTAAAAAATAATTATTATGTAATTGAAATGATTTATATTCTTGTTAACGATATAAGCCAAAAGCTTCTACAACTTGGGTTGTATGGTTTCTGATCATGAAAGAATACACATACTCATAACACTCATCATCCAAGGGAGGATTGCGAAATTTAACAGTGGTTTTATCATTTTTTATCTTAACACCTCCATGATCATATCCAAAAATGTATCTTCCATAGGCTGTGAATTCTCTATTTTTATAAACAAACAATCTTTTTCTAGTTGGACAGATAGTCCCAAATCGCATTTGCTTGTTTCCAGCGATGGATTTATCTAAATCAAGATCTTTGCAAGGATCGAAAGTGTACTTTATAAACAAATCAATTAAATCAAATATATTGACTTCTGGATCTTCAATATTTGACTTATACATTACCCTTCCCTTACTATAAACTATCTGACACGGTATATTCCATTCAATTTCACTTAAGTCTATGATCTTAAAATGTTTATTTTTAATAAATTTTGATTTATAATCTCCATCAAAAATCTCTTCTTCATCTTCATCTAATTTAAAGACTCCTTTCAAGATTCCCACTTCTTCAACTTTATCATAATCATATGGTTCTTTAATATCATAAAAATCATTAGAATCGTTTGAATCTAAAACAAAATTAAAGTTGTTGTGTATTAAAGAAAACGTGATATTTTTTATATTTACTAAAAAACTAAAAAAGGATAATCGTGTATTGCAGAATTGAGAATACACAAAAATGGAAAAAATGCCTTACCTTGATCATCACTGATACTGTGGAAACTGTCGTCAGACATTCTTGTTAAGATTCTAAAACTAAGCCAAATATTACAATTTCAAAAATCCAATAATATCAGTGATCACAAAAAATATTCTGCAAAAAATGTACAAAAAACAAAAATGCGCAACACTGTATTTTCGTGTGGCCTTTTCGTTCAAAAACTAGCAACTTTTTATCGGCCTATTCTTTATACGTTATACAGTTTAGCCTGTCATCGTCATGACACGTTGCCAGACGAATCATATTTATGGAATTGTATCATAATTATTACAAATTTTGGGGAGTCACCCCAGTAATTGTTCCGGTTGCGGACACTTTTGATAAGCAAAACTGTTTTTGATGGCTCTAATTTTAAATACATCATTATAAAATAAATACTTCAAATTATTGTTTTATTTGTCGTGTAGCGAATACTTACTAAAAATTTGTACCATATTTTCCCTAAAATTCCATAATTCTGACATCGCTGCGCTATATTTTTATATTTGACATCTGGCATCTGTCATTCAGTTTTGTTTTGTCCGAAGTGTTTATGGATTTGTTTTTAATGGGATTTATACATAAAATACATATAACTGAATGGATTTATCTTATTACAAAGTAAATGAGGCACCACCTACAATATATTATATTCCAAATTTTATATCTCGAGAAGAGGAAGCGCACATTCTTAAAAATGTTTATCAAGTGCCAAAACCCAAATGGACCAATCTTTCAAATAGAAGATTGCAGGATTACGGCGGAGTTCCCCATGAGAAGGGAATGATACCTGAACCTATTGCAAATTGGCTAGAGCCTTATTTAAATAAGATCCATGATATTAATCTTTTTGAAAATCGAAAACCTAATCAAGTACTTGTCAATGAATACTTGCCTGGTCAAGGTATTATGCCTCATACAGATGGGCCACTTTTTTACCCTACTATAGCTACCATTTCATGTGGGTCTCATACAGTGTTAGAATTTTTAGAAAATAATGCAGGCAGAAAGAAAGTTTGTGAATTACTCTTAGAACCATGTAGTCTAGTGATAATTAAAGATGATATGTATTCCAAATACTTACATTCCATTCCAGAACGCAACAGTGATACAATAAGCAAATGTACTAATTTAAAAAATTGCCAAAAATATTCCTGTGATGAAGAATTGTGTAGGTCTACTAGGGTATCTTTAACCATAAGGAATGTCCCAAAAGTGTTAAAATTAAAATTATTTTAAATATGTAATAAGATACATTTAATTAAAATAAATATTTTATGAAAATTTTGTACATGCTTATTTTAGATTTCTGATTTTGTACAGGGATGAGTATAAAGGCATAAAATGAATGTAGACAATTATTTGAAATTTGGAGGACACTAACAGAAAAGGTAGCTAGGTATTTTAAAGGTAGAAACAAGAACCAATGTTATTTTAATTCCATGTAAGCAGAATACAAAGATTTAAACAAAGTTTTATCTAGTCTTGTTTTAATCTAACTACGCTTTGTCCATTCATAACAGTGTTGTAATGGATATCTACAACTGTGGAACATCTGCATATATTTGGATATCCTCATCAGCATATTTTGTTTTTAAAAGATCCACATTCTCATAATTTCTATGAGGATGTACACGTACATGCAAAAAACTATACGGACATAGGTCAGCTTTTATCAGACACTCAAAAGAAAGTATCCACAATAAATAGTTTATTAATGGATGTTCTTAATACAAACAGCGAAAATGATAATGATCATGCATATATAAGTATAATGACTTCTAGTTTTGCGATCAAAAATGTTAATTGAATATATTAAAAAAGAACAACTACATTTTGATGAAGATGCACCGTGTGGTGAAAAAAAAATTATAAAATTTTAAGAAAATTTCTACCACCACCGGCAAGTGTTCCAAGCGAACCACTATTTAGTGGGGCAGGTCGATATTAAAAATGAAAAGAGGAGAGTTCCAATCTATTTGTTTTAGTTGCATGCTTTTTTAATAATTTTGCTTTACATATGTGTAAAATGTTACATAATTACACATTAAAATTATTTAAAGTTATTTTTTTTTTAATATGGCCATATATTCAGGGTTACCAGGTTTTTGAAAGAGATGACGGACAGACGGGGAAATAGGGGGAAGTAAAAACAACTCTATTTTTATTTTTTTTAATCAAAATTACTTATTTTGTAAAAAATCCGTACCTAATTTTTGGTAAAGATAGACAGGTGTTTTTACAAATAATAAGGTGAAAATGTTTCCGACTTTGGATTTCGATTTGCGATTTTACGATTTTTTAATTTTACATTTTCACCTTATTATTTGTAAAAACACCTCAGTGTATCTTTACCAAAATTAGGTAGGGATTTCTTGCAAAAAAAGTAATTTTGATTAAAAAAATGAAAATAAAATTGTTTTTACTTCCCCATATTTCCCCTAAAATCATGTCCGTCTGTTATCTCTTTCAAAAACCTGGTAACCCTGCATATATCTGCATCCTCAAAATTGAATTTTCTTACATCCCCATCCTCAAAACCGATCGCGCCTATATCCGCACCCCATCTGCTAAATGACATCCGTTACAACTCTGATTCATAACATGTTTCATCCATATTTTAATTATTATTATTATTATTATTGTTTAGAACAGGCAAGCGACATAGTCAATGAAGCTGCTCCTTTAGTTAGTGACAAAAATTATTCTAAATCACTACATGACAGTTAAAATCCAAAAGACTATAATGAATAAAACTATTTTTCTTTCTTCGAGTTCTATATCCACTCTCGCCTTCAACTGGTTTATGCTCTGGGCTGAGACTGTATGTTGCTGGAGACCATTCCACAGATATACAATTCTGTTTGTTACGAAATTTTTTCTTTGCAGTTTATTACACTTTTCTTTATATCTAATTTCTTCGAGTGATCTCTCAAGGTTCTTGATGTGCTGGCCTGGATGATGTTATCACAGGTGTAATATCCGCTGGTCCACTTGTAGGTTTCTATTAAGTCTCCTCTAGTTCTTCTATCCTTTAAACTTGTAAGTTGTAGTTTGGCTAGCCGATCACAATACTCATTGTTTTTTAGGGTTGGTGGTATTTTGGTGACTCTCCTTTGTACTCTTTCCAGCAGTTCAATGTCTTTCACAAAGTATGGATCCCAGACGGTCTGTGCAAATTCTATCTTTGGTCTTATGTAAGTTGTATAAATGAATATAAAATGTCCCATTTATCTCTCCAATCAACTTTAAATACATAAGGCGATCTTAATAACATTTGGTGGTGTATTGTATACCATAATATTATAATAGAACCTAAATAAACATTTACGTTTTGAAAGTTATAAAACAATTATTATATATTTGAAAATAACATTCCTGGGAATAAGCTTTAAGGGTGTGCATCTACAAAATAAAAAATAAATAGATGGTCTCATCTCGTAAGTCCGAAATTTCAATTTTTACTTTTTCCTATCGATACAAATTAATTTAGAACAAAATTTTCAAAATAAAAAATAGCCCCGCGTTCACAGGTTATTCATATTTATTTGTTTGTTAGCATTATTTATCATAATAATGACATTATAGTTGTTTTTTAAACTAGAGTCCAAAAATATTTCATTACGAAAATACGGGTGCTAGTTTTAGGGGAAAAATTAAAATTAACATTTTTGAAACCACTTGAGATATTTCAATGACATTTAGTAAGCAGTGACAGTTGTTGTTCATCATTGCATGCAGATGCCAACCTGTAATGTATTAAATTAATAATAAGTTTGCAAGTTTTTTTACTCAAAAACGGCGCATCACAGGAAAACATTCAAGAAAGCTCTTATGTTTCTTATTGAACGAGAAATATTTTTTAATGGGAAAAAACTATTGCCGTACTAGTGTTTTCTCAAAAATATCGTACGCATGCCACTGTTAAAGCTGAAAATCATTTTTGTATTGAAAAATATGCACTTTTATTAATTGGCATTGAAATATCTCAAGCAAATATTAATTTTTCTTTTTTTTTTTTTTTTTCGTAAAACTTTAGCACCCCGTATTTTCGTAATGGAAAATGTTTTGACCATTATTATAAAGCAAAATATCATTTATTTTATATGTAGATTCACACCCTTAAATATTCGCATATCATTAAGAAACAGCATTTATACAATAAACGGAAAAGTAGTAATAAATAAACTCGGAATATAATATTTATTAAAATATAACAATTCTCTTACAAAATTATAGTAACAGCAGTTCAACGTTTATCATCATCATCTATTTTAATTTTTTTTACTTCTTTAATTATCTCATCCAATTTGTGTAAGTCTTTAAGAGATACTTCTCCAGTCCCTCTTTCCAATGGCTTTGGTTGCTTGGGGTGTGGTTTCCATCCCAACATATTAATTATCTACAAAAAATTATATTTTGCACTGTAGTGTAGAATATGTAAAACTACAATTTTTTAGTCTTGATTAATTGTGAAACGTTCGCCTTTTAAAATAAGTACTTTTTTGTGATTTAATACAAAATAGTAGGAAACCATGTCCTGCCTTAGAGTAAAGGCCCAGCTAGATTGAGGTTTCTAACACTAGGCGAAGCTAGACTATATCTAATAAAAAATATAAGGCTAGAGGACATATTCTAAATAAAGGAGTTTCAAAATAGAACAGAAAAGATTGCGACGGGTAAGGTCAAACTCTTTTTAAATCTAAATACAATATAATACACCTGTTACTCCACTACCCTCGACCAATATTTAATTTTCAAATCCAAAAATTAATAAAGCTGGGATTTCACTACGAGCGATGCTATAAGATATCTAGGGGTGGACAAGGACAAATAATGTTCTGCTCCTTTCAAATCTATTAGTATCTACTACATGTATCAATAAATCCAAATAATTTAAATTTTGTTGCCAAATATTTTTATTTTTCTATTAATCCCCATCTCTGTCTGCAGAAGAATTAGGTGTCTTTTTTTTATTTTATTGATTCTGGACAATTCATATGGCAAAAATTTCGCAGCATTATAGTTCATAGCATAGCATACTGCGAAAACATATAATAAAAAAAAGATTTACCTGAAAAGTGGCAGGTATAGTAACTTTTCCAGTCTCAGGATCTTGATTGCCATATAGTTGTTGATAAATAGCTCCTGCAGCAAATTGTATATCTCTATGTAAATGGAGTGATCTATTTAGAGCAGCATTACTCTCAGCCATACCTATATAAATCACACATAATGCCTCAGTAATTAATATATTGTGATTTTGAGGGAAAAATACCTAAGGCATCAGAAAAACATGAAAATTAATTTTTTTAAGAATAGAAAAGTATTAGCTAACAAAATACACCTACCAATACTAGCAAATATCTGTACTACATTAGTGTTTTCGATTCTACAGAATTTAACAGTGTTGTTTATCAAGATTTTGAAAAATGGAAAATAAAATATATTTTGTATGTTGATCGACCTGCTCAAAAATGAGTGTTATTTGGATGTATCATGTTTCCTGTGTTGTTGACTTGTTTCTTGCTTTGCTATGAGCATTTTCCTACTCTTCCTATTTTCCATCTAAAGCTTTAAAGTTCTTAAAATGAATAATAATAATAATGAGATTTTAGCTCCTTGAAACCTGTGGAGTTTTATTATTTATCTGTTGTAAATGAGTATTGAACATCTTAGCAAATATATACCCCTAGTCAGGAAATAGTTGAAAAATTAATATTAACTTCCTATTATTGGCCATTTTAAATGTAAAAGTTAAACAACAAACAACTTTAAAACAATACCAATTATTTATATAATACACCAATGACACAAATACATATCTCATCTTCAAAATACTCCTGTTCTACCTTCTTTTACAGAGCAATACTATTTGCACCAAGAGTGATTTCCACCTAAAGTCAAAATTGTAAGTGCACTGCTCCCAGTCTAATATAATCAAACAAATAAACTTAATTTCATGCAAACTCGGTGCAAACTGAGCAGTAGAAATGAAAACACTACATAGTAAAAATTCGACTATTGCAAGAGTTCTGTAATTTGAATTAAATTTATCCCTTATTTTTACCTTTTAAATCTAACATCAAATCAAATATAGATGGATATTTGACCACAATTTCATCTGTATCAATTGTCAACATAGTAAAACCAGCTCTTGTCAATAAACTTCCTATATCCCTTACTTCAGTAAAAGGGGAAATGTGTGGAGACAATCCACCACGTCGTTCGAGTTCAGCTAGTTGCAAAGAAGATCGAAGTTCGTACAATGTATCGCCACCAAAAACAGAAGCTAGTAAAACCCCATCTTCTTTTAAGCTCTCCAAAATTCGTTTGAAAGCCATTGGTAGATCATTTACCCAATGTAGACTAAGACAGGAAATGACCAAGTCCAGAGAATTCGCTTCAAACTGAAAATACACATAAAATATCGCCTTGACAATAATTTGCTGTATCTACCTCTATGTGTTCTTCGTCTAGTATCAGCTTTCTAACTTTAATACCATCTTGCACATTTGCTGTGTCCAAATTCTTTTGACTGACATCACATAAAATAAGTTCTTCAACTGAATCTCGGGATATATGTTTAGAAACATAACCACGACTGCATCCTATAAAAACAAATCAATATAATCAATGTTAAATAATTCGATATTCTTTTACCTATATCTGCCGCAACTACAAATTTTCTTTTAATATCAAAGACTCTATCAGCCAGTCGAAAACCAATTTCATCCTTCAGATAATCATAAACATTTACGTCTTCGGCAGCAGCAGCTCTTTTTCGTTGTAATCTTTTGGTTTTGCGATCAAAAATGTTAATTAAACTGTTATCAAGCTTACACAAAAATGAACTTGTAGAATGATTTTTAACACTGAGAAATACTTTTTTGTTGCCAATAATACTAAAAAGCGGATTGCTAGTAATTAAAAAAGATCTGATACAATTCATTTCGGTTTTACAATTTTCAAATCATATTAAAGGTAATTAATTATTCTTGCATAATAATAATAGTGAGCATATTTTTTTTACTTCCACACAGGTTAGGATAAAATGTCATAATAAATAAACATCAATCAGTCAAAATAAACGTTCAAGCATTTTTTCGCGATATACATAACTGACCTAGATATTTAGGAAAATAATTTTATTTTTAAGATTTCCTTTGGCTTGACTTCAATTTAAATTCAATTTATTTTCAAGTCCAAGTTATTGGTACTAATTTAAACAAAGTCGCTTAAATTTCACATGAAAAAAATTTGCGCCTGTCTGCAACATGCTGGCAGCTGGGCTGACTTCTGCCCTGTTCCCCTTACCGTCTGATTTAAAATCCGAACGCGCTCTTGTTGACAGATTGACAGTTCTGGACTTGACATTTCGGTCAATACATTGAACATTCTGACAATTAACAATAATAAAGATGTTTTAAGTTTTTCTTAAAAAACTACTCATGAAAAAGTGATGATTGGTTGGTGTATCATCTTCAAAATACACGATGAACCGACACAAAAGCTGCAAAGGTACGCAAAATTGTCAAAACTGTTTCCATCGATAAAATAAATATGTATTTACTCTTGTTTTAGGTTCTCGTAATAACAACATTGTTGGACGCGCTCATTCAACACTGAGCGTTTCTGCTGTTGATTATTATTTAAATTTGCCAGTGAATTGCCCACCTTCTCCTGCTATTTCTACTGTTACTCTAACTCCTGGTAGAATAAGAAATATTGACCAAGATATGGAACACTTAAGGGCATCCAGACAAGACAATCCCTTTATTCAGGTAGTTTTATTAGACAAAAAACGTTTACGTATAAACAGTGTGTATCTAGATCAGCTGTACTCAACCTTTCTTCTTTTGGCCACATAAATCTGTTTGTTATGCTACAGGCCACAAAATTTGTGGATGATAACTAGAGGTTGCCACCTTTTTGAAATGTAAATAAAGAACAATGGGTGACGATAGAGATCCGCTTTAAATATTTTCTAAAAAAAGGTCCTCATGTTGTTTATAAGCTTTGAAAAGTTGCGCAAGGACAATTTGTTTCAAAAAAGGACTGTAGGTCAACCATTTAAATTCCTAATAATAGTGTTTGGGGCTGCACAAAAAAGCTTGAAGGGCCGCACAAAACAACTTGGAGGGCCGTAGGTTGAATATGTGTGATCTAGATTGTTACTTCAATTTATTATACATATAAGTATTAAAGTTTGTTTTTGAATATGTTTATCCACTAGTAAGTAGTACATGTTATTCATGCATAAATATCCTTTTCATAAAAATGTATTTTTGTTTTCCTTCAATTAGATAAAGATAAATATAATGGACATTGACACAAATTATTAAGCACCCCACATCTTTAAATAATTATTATTACTTATTATACCTATATGTTTCTTACAGAAAGTGATTGCTAGTAGAGAGAGTATTATTGACAGTTTGGATACAGAAGAGGAATCTGACCATGCAAATCTAATGGCCAAGGTAAATCCCTTGTTTTTATAAATCAATTATGCATTCATTGACATTGTTACAAAGATGTTTCCTATAATTCATGTGTCTTTGCTACCATAAATAATATTGCAGATTTAAATCAACTTGTTAAGTAGGTTGTAAATATTTAACTTGCAATCATTTAAAGCAAACATAATTAATATCTAGTTTGACCTCTTTTCGATTATGAAAAACTAAGCATACGTTCTTGCAGTCATTGCTATTGTAAACAAAAAACAATGAATTTTTTTAAATAGTAATTTTCATTTTTTCAATTAATATTAACAATTTTATGTGAAAGGGAGTGAATAGGGGTACTAGATGAGTAAAACAATGCCAATAGTTATAAAATATTGTTAAAGCAAGGAAATTTGTTAGAAATGAATTCCTAGGCAAAAAAAATAAACTAGATAATGATCAATATATCTATTATTGAGAGATTTTTACAAAGAATTCATCAAGTTATAAACTAGAGTCTTACAACTTTGCACACTTTAAATACGTCTTTCATATCTCCTCAACCTTTGATCATCCAGTGTGGGCACACATACTACTTGATTCATAAAGTGTCTTTATTTGTATGAAAATGTATAATTAGCTTGAGTGGAGTTTAGTGTTCAGCTCACCTTACACCAAACCCTAAGAAATATTTGACTAGAAAATGTTTACAAAATCTGAGCAGTGGAATGGAAAATCGGCCCTGTCTTTTTTTCAGAAAATTTTTGACAAATGATATCTATCTCACACATTAATAGAATTTCTTGAAATTTTAATATGGCCTTGAGACAGTCAAAGTAAACATTTTGTTCCATTGTACCATTCTTCAAAGTCATATGAGCAAATTAATACATGGGTCACCTGATATGAAAAACATTATACATGAAGTATAATTGAAGTTTTAATGTTTTTCGACTGCAGCCCATCTGGCTTCTTCAAAGAATAACCTTCGAACTGATATAAGAATTTTAATTCATATCAATTAAATTTAATGTTATTAAAATATTATCATTGTAACTGCAAATTTAACTTTAATTTGTTAAATAAACATGGTAATATTGGTTGTTACAATAATATACATTTTTATTTTCTAATTTTTATCATAAAAACATTGTAATGCATTATACAATGTTATTTTCGGAAATAATATTATTTAAGTACGAATTCACATTGTTAGTCAATTTACTATGTTATTACTTCCAAGAGTTTATATATTATAGGGCCAAAGAACATTGAGTAAAATTTAGAATATACTTGCACATATTTATTGAATGCCTAGTGTTTTAATCAGTTTTAACCTGTCTAATGGAGCACTGGAAACACGTATTTTTTTGAAGTTGCAAATAAATAATATGTTTACAGTTTTTGAGTTGTGAAAAATTAATTTTAGACTTATAAATGTAGGTATGTAATAAAATGACTCCTAAAATTGTAAATAAGTTATTAATTTTATTATGGTTTCAGTGACTTTACAGCATAATGTTAATGTAGGTTTATTTACTAATAATGAAGAAAAATTAAATTAACCTAATCATTAGAACAATAAATGAATAGGTGCTAATTTATAAAAATAACTTTTTACACCAACCTGTATTAAAAAGTTTGGTCAGTATAGAAGGTAAGATTTGTTTTAAATTATCAAGCTAGGTAATTAATTTTAAAATGTAATATTTTTTTAACATTTAATTCATTTATACTCCTATGACTTTGAATTGAATTTTCGGTATCACCTTATTGTATAGTTACAAGGTTAGTACAATGGAATAAAAAGCACCTTTTAACACATTTTCCGTCTTTAATGTATCAAAATTGTAAAAATGATGTTTATATCATATTTTCTAATCAAAATTATTAAAAAAGTTTGGTCTAAAGAAGGTATGGCCCAATTTCATCAACAGAAACTGCTCATATGACACCCCTCGTAACAAAATGTAAAATAATATTCTTTGCCTAAAGTTATTCCTCTGTGCTAATTTTGATAGTGATTTATTAATGTTGTGAAATTATTACAAAAAAAAAAAAATGAATACTCATATTTTGGTCTAAGCAACCTGCATTTACTATGTGTCTTACTAGCTATGACTTGAACTGTATGCATCTCATATTATCTTTTTTATTGCTGATTACTCAAACTTTAATCATTCTATAAGAAACTTCGATATACAGGTCCGGAAAAAAGTATACGAGCTATAGGGTATAGGCACTGTAAGTGAATAGAATAGAATTTATTCGTTAATAAAGTATTTTTTTTTTACATTTTTACAATGTTTAAAAAAACTTGTCAGACTAGTCAGCTCATACACAGTACGTCCATACAAAAAACAGAAAAAACAAAAAGACCATTCACACTGTCCAATTCATATAGGTTTAAAATTCTAGATTAAGATAATATATAATATACAGAAAACTAACACAAAAGACAGTTAAAATTAACATTAGGAAAAATATATTTTAAGTTATAAAATTAATATGCTAAAAGTTCATCAACAGAGTAAAAGGCCTTGCCTGCAAGAAACTGAAACAGCATAAATTTGAATTTTTTAAAGTTTTCTATATTGCCTAAAATTCTAACAGAATGGTTAAACAAGATGGCTCCTTGATAATACGGAGAGTTTTGACCTACTGTTAATCTTGAGAAGGGTGTACGAAGTTCGCCACCTCTTCAAGTAGGATAGGGATGTATCATATTATTAGTTGTTTGATGTGAAAGATTTTTTTAATATATAACAGTGATAGATAAACAAGCATGGACGAGCTAATATTGATAACTTGATAAAATGTTGCTGACAATGTTCTGAAGGATAGGCTCCTATCATGCATCTAATAATTCTTTTTTGCAAGAGAAAAACTTTATTCATATGGGCCGAATTTCCCCAGAAAATCAAGCCATATGAAAGTACCAAATGCACTAGTTCATAGTAGGTTAGTTTTAGTACATTCAAAGTCACAGTTGGTTTAAGTTGTCTGATGACAAAGCAAATGCTACATAGCTTAGATGCAAGATTATCTATGTGGCTTTCCCATGTGAGCTTGTGATCGATTTCTAGACCTAAAAACTTGACCTCCCTTACCTGGTGTAGAGATTTATGTTCAATTTTTATTAATTGACTTTCGTTGAGGCTTGAATTTTTTGGTTGGAAAAGCATAAATACTGTTTTATTAGAATTAAGCAATAGGCCATTATTTGAGCACCAATGTTGGAATTCATTTGCGCTAATATTTGAGGCAGAAACTGTATCAGACAGATTGTTTTCAGCAATAAGTTGATTAGTGTCATCAGCATAACCAACGGTAGTTACTCTAGGTGTTGGACATGAGTATTCTAAGTCGCTCATAAACAAGATGAAAAATAGTAGGGCTTAAACTGAGCCCTGAGGAACTCTCCTCCTGTTATTAGCCCGAGAGCGGATTTAGCATCTTCTATAGCTACAATCTGAGATCTTCCCCGCAGATAGGATGCACCCCGCAGTGGACGACCATCTCTTGACTTTGTGAACAATGCCAATGTCTACACACAAGCAAGATAAAGTTTATTATAGGCATTTTCTAATATTCATCGATGTCATCCAATATTTATCAAAACCGTTCTTTTATCCGTCAATAATTTTTAGATGCGTCGTCATACATCGAATTCTAATTTTCAACTACATTCTCTGTTGTCAACAAATTGTTCTATGCGTTGGTTAACTGATGGATCAATTGACGTAACCCTAAATTAATAGATAAAAAAAATCATGTTCGATGTTGGTTCTGAATTAAAACGAAAATCAAGGTGCTCATAGATTTCATATTTATTAGTTTGTTTTCTTTAAAGATTTCGAAATTCTTAAGCCGTTCTTAAGAAATTCCATCATTAAAATCTGGATTACATCTGTCTGCCATTTACTAGTCACTTAATCTATCCACAGTACAACATTTTGTTGAATATTAAAAAATACCTTAATGCTTGGACAGAGATGGGATGTAGTTCCCTCTATTCGCTTTGATTACGATGCTCTCCGACGTGTAATAAACACGAATATAATGCAGTTTACAATGAATAAAGATGGGCGCCACTCTGTATGGATAGTATACTTTTTTCCTAACCTGTATATATTTTTTGTAGTGTGGTGTTCCGGTAAAATAGATAAGTTCTTACAATAATTATTGTAATAATTTGTTAATATTTTAAAGTTTAAGGTTTACCTCAAGAATATTAACTTTGACCATGTCAGGTCACGTGATTTTGACATTTATCATTCTAGAATGCCTTTTTATATTTATCTGATATTTTTCAAAAACTTCACAGACTATTTTTAATTGTAAGATACCTAAATACATCTCGCACAAATGTTCTGGAAAATTCTCCGCTCCATACCATGTGTACAGTAACAAATTCTATTGTCAATGAACTTGATATATTTAGTTGCAATTTGTCAGATATAAAATCCCACTTTTTATCTTAGTTCATTTGTTAATTTGTTACCTATTACGAAATACAAGTTCTTTTTATGTGCTTAACATTCATATAAAAAATTGTGATTTATTAATAATTATATTCTGTCAATTCCTGCTCTGTAATTGGGTTTATGACCTGTAGAGTATTGTATTATAAATAAATAAATATTTCGTGTTGAAGCAAATTTTCTTAAATAATTTAATGTGACTATACTTTTAATACTAGTTTTTCACTAGTATTTACCTGTAATAAAGTGATTTTAGCAAATGAGTGCATTTTTAAAGAAGTTTTTACTTAATTGCCGAGAAAATATAAAAAATCGTGCTTTACCACTTTCTGTCCTATCTGCAAAATCTACTGGAACACAAAATAAAGGATTTTTTAATAATTTTAGTAGTTAAAGAAGTTAATGTTTACAATGGCAAATACAGTTTATGTGCCCTCGGACAATGTGGCGGATTTATCCTTGAAAAACAAAACACATACATATCCTTTTTTGTGAATTAATTTTTTTTGTAGGAATTATCCTTAGATTTGGATATAGATCCAATGTCTCTTCCAGAAATGCATGAGCATATGATTCGGAGCCCTCCTCCTACTAATTGGCCAAAATCTCCCAATTTTAAGGTATTTCATTTTCCCCATAACGAAGATGAGACTATTTCAGTGGAAGTTAACGTAAGTACAAGTGGATTTAAAAAATATTTTAATAATAAAATGATTTATTGGAAATTTAAAAATTTGTTTTGATTCTTTATAGGTATTTGACTGTATACGATTTTCATCCAATTTGATTGAAATCCAACTTTGTTTTTAGATTATTTAACATTTTTACATTTGAAGAATTTTGGTTCATAGTGTAAAAAAAGATTTATTTTTTTATATTTTATCTTGTTTTAATTCATTTAGGCCAAAGACACAAAGTCAACAGAAGTGAAAGTGAAACATTCGAGTTGGGAAGGACCCGACACTTCTCCATTAAAATCTTTTGCAAAGACCCATCATTATCAAGATCGCTTTTCGTTATTGACACCTAATACACATCGAACAACTGCAGAGGACAGTATTCACCTAATGGCTGAAGATTAGATGTAGTTCCTTTGTTGTATTTTTTTATAGTATTATCTCATTCCATAACCACTATATTATTATCCATCAAAAGGTGTATATTTAATATGACCACCTAAAGTGTTTAATCGATATATTTTTTATTGGTCAGTGCCATTTTTACACCGAATTAGTGATATCTGTGAACCAAACAAAATCATTCTGGGCATTATTCTCTGAAGAACTTTATTTGGCTCATTTTTTACGTCATCAAAAATTGGGGTGTTTTTAAAAGCAGTATTGGTATACATGACGAATTAAAACTGTCACCGTTTTTGTCAAATTGACATGATTTTTTTTTTCAAGATAATTTTTAGCTAAAAATTGAATCAAATCAAAAATTACAAATGATACAATGAACAATCGGAAATTATGGATTTCAAAACAAATTTTAAAATATTCAGCCACTCCTAGATCGATAAAATTAAGGAAAAATCATACACTATTGCAGAATTTAAATAAATCAATTACAATTCAAAATAACAGATTATTGCAAATACAAAATTTAAAAAGGTTAATGTCTTCAGATAGTGCAACACAAGCTATTGGGCGGCATTGCTTCCATAAAGAACTAGAAGATATTATGAACGAACAAGCTATAGAAGAATTTAATGCTGCTTATGCTTATCTTACAATGGCCTTACATTTTGGTCGGACCGATATAGCCTTACCCGGCTGTCAAGGCTTTTTTATGAACATGTACGAAGAAGAGTTAGGTCATGCTACCATTTTTTTAAACTATGTACTAATGAGGGGAGGACATGCAACTTTAAAAGACATTAAAGTCCCCGAATGTACAAAATATGACGTAAGAGGAGCTTTTAAAACTGCCATGAAAATGGAGATGCACATTAAAGAAAGGTTGAGTGCTGTTAATGATGTCGCAGAGAAGCATAAAGACCTTCATGTCATGGATTTAATATCAACGGAATTTATGGAAGAACAAAATCGGTCTATTTGTGAAATGGCCAGGCTTTATACCAGATCTAAAATGGTGGATACACATGTAGGGGAACATCTATTCGATCAGTTTATATTTAAGTCATTTGTTGCAACCGAAAAAGATAATTTAATGAATAAGCGCAACTTAGATTTGGAAAAGAGCAAATTTGATGTTTATAGATAAATTTATGTTCTACTTTGAGAATTGATGAAATAAGAGTCAGTGAAAAGTGTATAGCATAAATTTAAATATGTATCCAGAAGATGCCAATGAATATAATTCCCGCGGTTTTTCTTTTGAATATGTCAAAATAAAGAATATGAAACTGATGGTTTTAATCAATTTTTGGGAGAAATATACACCTTTGGTTGATAAAATCTAGTGTAGTGATTTATTTTTACATAACAAGAATTCTTTCTATAGAGCATTTTAAACTTGTTTCCCATGTACAAGAAAAATATCTTGATCAGTATTGGCAGGTCAGATAGTTTCAATCAAGGTATTTGTAATGTTTTGATTTTTAACTAAATTATTAAAATTTGTACCTTAAAACAATTGGATATTTTGTGGGATATTATTTAACAGTAGATTTTGATTTTGGGGACAATTTCCAGGCTCAAAATTAATATTCTTTCAAATAGTTCCTTTTTTTATTGTGTGTATCTTATTTTTGTTAACGCTTTTTGAATCACTACAGGAATTCTTGTACATGTAAATACAATAATAATTCATAAAATAATCTCATCTCACTTGAACATAATTTTTGTTATTTTACAAAAGAAATGTTCCAGTACATGTTCAATATTTGATATCAATTTTGAACAACTAATTTTAGACAGGGTAGTTTAATCCATTATACCATATGGGTACGTTTAGACTGGCCGTTGCAAGTAAAATTTCAATAAAATAAGTAGTGCTGTAGCCGTAACGCAGTGTAATCCTCTCTACCTCTTACCAGAGCAATCTAATTTAGTTGCGTTCGTTTAGTCAAGCTCCATTCACACTTTTTACTTAAATCGACCTTTTTAGTGCTTGTTTATTCCAACGACGAAAAACTAGGAGACTCATTAATTCATTCATAATTAAGCCCTTGTTTACTAGCAAGTATTCAGCATATGTTTTATGTCGCATCGGCTGCTGTATTAAAAAGAAAGAGATGCCTACTAAAATGAGTGGGGATGGTTTGTGCGAGAATGCGTTTTATGAATGAACTACGATGCTTTACACCTTTGCCACATTGCAAAATAAATGGTGTACTTTCCTGTAAATTAGCTTCCGCTACAATCATAGTTGCAACCATAGAAAGACATCAAGCTGATAATAACTCGCATTAAGAAAGCAAATATACTTCCTTGATATTATTTTGAAAGTCTTTTCTGCGTTTTAGAGCCTCGTGTTAAGTATATTCCGAATTATAACCATAAACACTCCTTGTACGTGGGTCACGCTGTATGTTTTGAGATACATGTAAAAGTTTATTTAGGTTAAAGAACAACCAGAAATCACACATGGTCAAATCAGGCGAATAGGGTAGATGTTCAATGAATTACATTGTTTTCACGTAAAAATACAACTGTCTGCTATGCAGTGTGAGATGATGATGCATTGTCGAGATGAATAAACATTAACCCTCGAATATTTACTGACTCAGGAACTGCAGATAAACATTTTGTGGTGTACCAGTTTGCTGTAACTGTACGTTGATATTATTATTATTATTATTTTTAATTTGGTGTCATCGGCATCAACTACTAAGGTTATTAACCTCGTGTTCTGTGCAGGCTTTGTTACTGTTTCCCAGCGCCACTTTAGGAACAGCACTGTTAATTAGAACCCAACAGTGATTGGTCAAGTGGGGAATCCTACCAAGGCATTAGAATTAATTTTAAATATTTAAATTAAATAAAAAAATCCCGGCCAACGGTGGGATTCGAACTTGGGACCCTTGAATCCGCAGGCAGAGACTCTACCACTGAGCCACCCACTCCCCAATTATTATTATTGTTTAGAAGGCAAGTGACATAGTCGATGAAGCTGCTCTTTTAGTTAGTGACAAAAATTATTCTAAATCCTGCATGACAGTTAAAATCCAATGCACTATAAACTATAATGAATAAAACTATTTTTTCTTTCTTCGAGTTCTATATCCACTCTCGCCTTGAACTGGTTTATGTTCTGGGTTGAGACTGATGTTGCTGGAGACCATTCCACAGATATACAATTCTGTTTGTTACAAAAATTTTTCTTTGCAGTTTGTTGCACTTTTCTTTATCTAATTTCTTCGAGTGACCTCTCAAGGTTCTTGATGTGCTGGCCTGAAAGATGTTATCACAGGTGTAATATCCGCTGGTCCACTTGTAAGTTTCTATTAGGTCTCCTCTAGTTCTTCTATCCTTTAAACTTGTAAGTTTGGCTAGCCGATCACAATACTCATTGTTTTTTAGGGTTGGTGGGACCAGATTCCTATTTTATTCAAGTCTTGTTTTATTTTGTGAGAGCTTTCCAGTGGCTTACAGTAGATCTTTCCATCGTCTCTATAAAAAAAATTAAAAAAAGTTAGCTTCGGACTCGATGATTTTGCATAAATCGCTGGTGTATAAAATAAATAACAGGGGACCCAAGACCGAGCCTTGTGGTACTCCACTTTGAACGGGATAGTTTTTTGACAGCTGTCCATTTATTCTTACGCAGAACTGCCGGTTGACTAAGAAATTCTTGATCCATAATAATAGATTGCCTTTTATTCCAAAATGTTCCAGTTTGCTAAGCAGCCTTCTATGTGGAATTTTGTCAAAAGCTTTCTCATAATCAATATTAATCACATCAGTTGGCTGGTTGTTGTCATTCCAAGCTGTCCACTGGTTAACTGCACTTAGAAGATTTGTAAGAGCAGATCTTTTGGGCATAAAACCATACTGATTGTTTGGTAAAACTCTTTTTTCTATCATGAACTCGGTTACTTCTTTTGTAATAATCTTTTCCATTGCTTTACCGACACAGTTTGTAAGACTGACTGGTCGGTAGTTAATGGGATTCTTTTTGTCACCTTGCTTGTATATAGGAGTGACTATAGTCTGTTTCCACTCCATTGGCAGTTCCTTTCTTTGCATTGAATCATTCATAAATGTCGAGGAGATTAAGAAGGCTACTAGAACATTTCATCTGTTCCGGGACTTGAATCTTGTTTAAGACCATCTATTGCAAATTTCACTTTTTCTGGGGAAAATTCTATATGTACTATGCTATTCTTAACTCTTTCTGTTGTAAGCTAAATTGCTTTTACTAATCCTGTATTACTTCTTGACAGCACTTTGCTTTTTCGTCATTGTTGGTGCATCTTCGTAAATCCACACACGTCTCTTTTGACAAGTAGGAATATAATGAAATGGTATGTATGTTTCATCACCTGTTACTATTTTAGAAATAATACGATGTCCGCCAATATTTAACGTTTCCCGCGCGATTCTCACTTGCTCTGCCTTCTGGAAACCATTAAGCATATGTGGCACCCAGCGAGTAACAATTTTTTTCATATGATCACGTAAACTTGAATTACTGTTGCGGGTCCAACACCAAGAGTTGCCTCTAGCGCTTGACAGGTGCATCTTCTTTGATCATATGTTTTCAACAGTAACTACCAGGATGTGTCTCATCATCAAGCGATATCCGTCTTATTTTAAATTCCCTATACCAGTGAAAAACAGATGCCCGTGAAGGACTTTCATCACCAAAACTAGTTGCAAGTAGATCATAGCGAGTACATGTTCTCTTGACAAATCCATGTTTAGATGACAAATCGTATGTACCACGTTTACCATGTGACAGCAGCAACTCAACTGATAAGATGATGGTATTTAAAATAACAGTGTTGCCAACTCTGACTCCTCTAGTTTCGTGGTATCTCAAAATATACAGAGTGGCTCTCGTATGAGGATGTAATATTCATAATTTCTTAAAGGGAATTGGGGATTTTTCATTTTAATATTTTCAAAATTGCATTCAATTTTTCGTATCTCAACTGATTATTCTCACTTTCTTTCATTTCAGTGTCTCATAGTAATTTGGCAACTAAGTGGATAACACCATGAATGCTTGCTATTCGGTTTTTGAAATCAAAACTTATCTAGTAGTTGTTCTTCCTTGGTTTATTCCGACTAGTGATGCATAAATAACAGTGCAACATGCATAGTGAGACCTCTTTATTAAACGATCGCACCTTTTAAGAAACTAGGAATGAGCTGTTGTCATATTTCTGTCCTGCAATAGATGGTTATGTCTAATCGGATCGTTTCCCTATAATGTATGAGCATTTACATACAAGACAGCAACACTATATATATGATATTAAACTACCCTATTAATCTCTGTTTTCCATACATTCCTAAAACAGTGATACAATTTCTAGTCAATGTTCGTTTATATTTTTATTGTAAATAGGTTGTTACTGTGAATATTTTTTTCACTGATAGATGTGATTTTTTGTTTCATAGATGTTGTCATTTATCTCGTGTTATAATGTAGTAAAACGAAATACTACTCAGTTAATATAGGTATTGCCTTTCACAAATGTGTCCTCCAAATAGTCAAAAAGACGTTTGCACTGCTAATCATTTAATAATGGTTTCGTGTTTTTTTGAGACAACTAAACAAAAAATCATTTTAGTTTTCGTTATATTAGTTCATAAAATAATATATGCTTAATTGTGCCATTTTAACTATAAATTTAAGCCTAAAATAAACGAAAAAATATTTGCTTTATTGAACAAACAAGCAGAAATAAATAATTCGAATAGGTCTAGTTAAAAATTACTAATTAAATTATTGCCAATTTTTCACCGTTTTATTCAGAACTGGAGACATGTTTCTGATTTTTTTTTATGTTTTAACTTACGATCCAATATTCATGAATACAGGATTGATAGTTTACGTCTAATCTGAAAGATAAGGCGCATCCTCTCAGTTAAGTTTAAAAACAGTGAAAGTATTATTATTTTTGGAATTGGAATACATTTCACCAACTATTGCAAGCGACTTCTTCATGAGATACAGTGTAAGGTGATACAGGCATGGTCAATCAACTCGGAGAGAAACTATGAAGTACAGCAGTGGATATATTTATACCCGCCTTGATCATTGTTCATGATAAGGGGTGGTGTTGAAATAGAGGAGAGCTGATAGCCTTT